GTATACTGCAGTCAATGCCCACCCACTGAAGTTTTAGGAGTGTCGTCATGTCCTGCTTCCAACTTCCACAAATACCTCTGCTTGCATGTCAATCTCCCACCACAAATTCAGAATGTATAAAACCAAGCTGTTCATCTTCTCCCACGAGTCCACTGCTCCTGCCCACTTTCCTATCCCTTTTGATGGGTTCTCCTTTCAGCTGTGTAGGCCAATAAGCTAGAACACCTTTGAGTTCCTTCTCTCACACCCAATAATGAGTCCCTCAGAAAATTCTGATAAGTTTGCCTTCAAAATATATCCATAATTCACTCACCCCTCACTCCCTCCACTGCTGCCAGTCTAGTCCATGGCCCCCCCTCACCTGAATGATGGCAGTGGTCTAAATCTCTGTTTCTAACCTCATCCTCCTCCCAAGCACGAAATGCCATAGTAGTGCTAGGGAACATAATCATAAACATAAATACAAAATAGCAATAAATAAAGTCAACAAAACCAGAAGTTGGCAGCACAATTGGCAAAACTTTAGTTAAATTGACCACAGAAAAAAGAAGCGAAGACACAACTTACTAAAATCAAGACTGAAAGAGAGGACATTACTGCTGACTTCATAGAAATTAAAGGACTATAAAGTAATACTATGAACAAATTACATAGCCTAGAACCATACAAATTCCTAGAATAATGCAAACTACGGAAACTGACTTAAAAAGAAGTAAAAAAGTCTTAATTGACCTACAACAAGTAAATATTGAGTCAGTAATCAAAAAATTCCCCACAAACAAAAGCCCAGAACAGATGGCTTCACTAGTGAATTCTAATGTCTAAAGATGAGTTAACACAAATCCTTCACAAACTCTTCCAAAAATCAGAGGAGGAAGAAACACTTGTCAAATAATTCTATGATACCAAAACCAGCTGAAGACATCACAAGAAAACAACAAACCATTATTTCTTCTGAATACAGATGTAAAAATCCTTAACAAAATGTCCCTAATTCAGCAACTCACAACAATGATTACATGCCATAATATATAATCACGAGTCTTTATCACTGGAATGCAAGGTTGGCTAAACAGTGTAATAGACCATCTCAATCAACATAATACACCACATTAATAGAATAAAGGACAGCCCACATGATAATCTCAGTGGATGCAGAAGACAAACCCAGATCTCCACTCCTGAACATAAAACTCCATCTCACCATTAACAGAAGCAGATATCACCCAGTGCCCACCGGGTTGGTCCATAACAATGCTCTGTCCACATCTCCCTCACTCCCTTCATTCCACACTCACCTCAGTGTCCTTGCTACTCATCTTGCTACCCCTCGAACCCATCAGGGCTTTTACACTTTCCTGGCACACTGTACCCCTAAATACCTAAATTAACTCGTTCACAGCCTATAGACGTTTACTCAACAACCCCCTTCTCAGCTGAGCCTCTCTGGTCACACTATGTAAAATCACATCCCTCTCGCCACAAAACTCACACACAGTCTCCCTGTCTCCTTTCTCACTCTGTCCATCCTAAGCATGTGCTATCATTTGAAATACTGTATATGTTACTTCTATGTCTTGCTTGTTGTCTATTTCCCTCAACTAGAATGTACATTCCCTAAGGACAGTGTTTTATCCACTGTCATGTCCTTGGCATTTAAACTAGCACACCACTTTATAGATATTCCTAAATGTTTGTTGAATAAATAAAAGGATTTGAATGGCCGATCACTCAACCATTTACTCAGCAAGCAATGCTGACACCCACTTATCCCAAGTGCCTGACGCGATGCTTCTGGCTGGAGAAATGAGAATGCTTGGAATTAATACAGACTCAACTAGGAGAGGAGTCATAGCAGAAGCAGCCATGAAGCCATGACCCAGGGAAGACAGTGCTGAGATGGACTGAGAATGGGGTGAGGGTCAGACCCAGAAGTCAAGAAAGCTGCATGGAGAGATGGTACACAAACTGAGCTTTAAAGCTAGAATGACCGGGGCAGTGGAAAAAGGTAGGTGGGGGAAGAGTGGGAGGACCTGGATAGGGAAAGTATGGGGCATGTCCTGGGAATTGGGAGGGGTCTACAAGGCAGGACCACGATGGGGGTAAGGCTATAAGTTTAGAGGGGCAATTCACGAGGGACTTTGAATACGAGAACGCACTGACTTAGTTCCAGAGGCACCGTGGAGCCATGCGAGGCTTTGAAGCAGAAGGGTACATGATGTCAGAAAGCTCAGTCTGGCAGCATGGAAAGAGTAGTTTGCCATAGAAATTAAAAGGACTATAAAGTAATACTATGAACAAATTATATAGCCTAGAACCATACAAATTCCTAGAATAATGCAAACTAGTAAGCAGAAAGGTGGCTCCCAGAACAGTCTTGCAGATAGATGTCAAGGCGTGAGCCCGAGCAGGATTGAGGGACCAAGAAAAGAAATTAGGATTGGAGGGGTTAAAGATGTTGAGACTGGGAGGGGGAAGGGAGGTCCCACTGGAGCATGAATTTCAGGTCAGGATGTCCAGTTGGAGTTCTGGAAGGTGGAGGCTGGAAGTCCAGGCCGAGGGGCCTCAGGGCACTGAGCGTCATAGTTGGCCCACAGGTGCACCATGGGGAGGAGCAGTTCCGACTACCAGAGGGTGGACACATCCTGGCCCGCTGTCCTCCCTGACCGTAGACCCTCACTCCCCCAGACAGGGCTAAATAAAAGTGTCTCCAGCTGGCTTTGTCAACCAAGATGCAATGTCATTTCTAGATGCACCATCAGCTCTGGAGATGTGCCAAGTTACAGGAGGGGGGACAGCTGTGTCCCCGAAACACAGCCAAGAAGCTGCCTCCCAGAGCCAACCAAGACAGTGGCAGAAGCAGAGCTGGCAGGGGGTCCACAGACCCAGCCAAGGTAGGGACAGGCCTTTGCTGGAGCCTCCATCTGCCCAGGGGCCCAGACTGCCTGCAAGGTCAGGCCCATTCGGCCCCCACCAGCTGGAGATGATGGTCCCAGCCACTCTTCTGCTCCCATGGCCAATAAGCACTAAGGTATTTGGTAGTGCCTACAGGCTGCCAGGCTCTGCCCCCCCCACACACACACATGGGAGTAACAAGGGTCAGCAAAGCATGGAGGATACAGACTTTGGAGTCTGCGGAGCTGAGTCTGAATTTAGTCTGTCCCAATATTTGTGTCGGTTGCTGTCTCTGGGCCTCCACTTTCCCATCTGTTAAGTGGGGATGAGGAAACCCTTCCCATGTGGGCATTGCAAACACGAGCACAGGCAGAGCACAAGCAGAAGAGATGTTAACAAGACTTCTCTGTTCTCCGGGAACTTCAGCTGAAGTCCAAGGTTGAAGAGGAGTGAGAAGCACCCACACCTGAAGAGAGGTGCCAGGCACACCTTCAGGACTTGAAAGAAAAAAGTAACTGTCCACTGGGGCTGAAGACTCAGCTGGGGAAGCTCTATTTGATGAATGAAGGGCTTTGGAGGGCCCCAGACACAGGGAGAGGGCAGTGCCTGCAGGAAGGAGACCAGTCTTTCTCTCTCATCAGCCTCCCACACCAGGGGCAACTTGAAACATGTCACCTGGTGTTCAGGAAGCAAGAAGCCCGGGGCCCAAGGGAGACTGAGGACAGGGGTGCCAGACAGAGCAGCTGCAAGGCTGGGGGAAGGAGAGGGAGCAGCAGCTGGCATGGCTGTACTTCTGAGCTCAGTCAGAGGGTCATGAGAGGCTCACCCCAGAGCCTGCCGGGGATGACAGGGTCAGCTGGAAGGAACTGGAAGGGCAACACCTGAGGGAGAGTTGTAAGAGGGCAGCGTGACCGCCAGCAAAGAATCGGGCAGTGCAAATGCTCCCAAACCCATAAAAGTGCCCCGAGAGAGCCAACATCTGGGCATATTGCCATAGGGGAGGGCACTGGCAGTCGGCAAAACCAAGATACGGGCCATGCCTGGGCCACTTCCGTCATCCTTCCTCGCCCATCCAACTTCAGAGGGATCAGGATTTCGAGGGGGCAGTGTAAAGAGGTGAAGCAAGAAGAACTGAAGTGACTAGAGCACCCCCTCTTCCTGGTGCAATTCTCTGGACTTGAATAGAAGCTTTGTTTGGATGGAGAATCAAAGTTTTTATTTAAATGGGACCAGGTTTTTTAGTTCCTGAGTGTGGCTGGGAAAGCTGTGGGACCTGGTCACAGGTAGAAGTCACACCCAAGCTGGTAGGAGAACAACAGAGCTGTTGTTGATTTGCCTTCCAAGTCAGCTTGCTCAGTGAGACCCCTCCCAACACACACACAAGCACGGGCATCTGTGTTCAAAGTGGTGGGTCCCAGGGCCTTGGGGCTGGGCTGGTACCAACTTTCCAGATATCAGAGGGACAGCCAGGGCTGAGGCCTTGTAGAGCCGGGGACACGGCTGCACACATACAGATGTTATGTATGTCTGTGGCCACAGCTCCATGCCTATACCCCGGTGTGTGATGGGATCCAAAAATGCACGAGCCCATTTGGGAATGGTGAATACTGTTGTGAGCTCAGAGTGGACTGGAAAGGCTTAGGGAGGAGGTGGCTTTTGAGTTGTGTCTTGCAGGATTTCAAGAGGCACAGAAGAGAGAAATGGCGCCCCTAGTGGAGGGAAAGGACTCAGCAAGGGCCGGGCGGTGTGCCTCAGGGTCCCCACTGTCATGGCCAGTCTTCAACTCATTACATCTGCATCTTGGGAAGAGTCACCCCATTTCTTCAAGGGTACATAACATGTCCCAGGAATAAATGAATTCCATAATCTCAAATCAAAGCATTAGCCAGGGACTCTTAAGACACACGGTAAAGTCAGAGGGGCTAAAGGCGCAGCCCAGTTCTGCCCTTTCCTGGCTGTGAAACCCTTAAGTAAATCCCTGTATTCATCTGTTGAGTGGGGGGACGAAGCTCCAGCTACATGTTTGTGAACATCTGGCACAGCATCAGCCAGTGTCAAGCAAGGGTTCCCTACCCACAGCCCCACCCGAAGGGACCCACACTTACATAGGTGGCCAAGAGGCTGGCTGGGGCCAGGACCAGAGCCAGGTAGAGACAGGGAGCTGTGGCAAGCAGGTTGGTGGCACAGATGAGCGGCTCAGCCCTTGGGTTGATTTTCTTGAATCTTCTTGAAACCTCTGCCCCCAGGATGACTCCAACCAAGCCAGTCCCAATAGTCAGTAGCCCGAATATTAGGCTGACAGGCAAGAGCAGAGAGTGGTGATTAGGGATTAGTCAGCCAGGCAGGGTCAAGATAGGGGTCCCTGTCCCTGGTGGACTATCTGGTACCTGTTGGTACTTGAATGTGACTGGGGACTCCTTTCTCCTAAAGCTTTAGGACCCCATTCAGGGACTCATGTACATCCCTTCCCAACCCCACTCACTCCCTCTCCAACCTCATCTTGAGGTTATCACTGGCCATGTGAGTGATTTACCCAGCACCCCAAAACCTATCATGCTTCCTCTCTGGTGATCTTATCCATCCTCTCACCACCACCCAAAACAGTCCCACTGGGAGATCCCGATTCTGTGGTCCCACTGCGGTGCCCAACACTAAGGAGAACAGTAAATAAAATAAGTGAACACTTACTTACTGAGCCTTTCACCACACCCAACGCTTATCTCCCTCCTTGAACACCATCCTCCCACTCTGCCCTCTCAGGCGGAGGGTCCTAACTTCACTGCCTTTCCCACCTACCCCGGATCCACTTCACCTGCTCTTGGCCCCTCTCTACTTCCCTTCAGAACAAACTTCATATAGGTTCCCCGTGGATTGAACATAGAGCTGATCAGGCTCTGCCTAAGATTCCCCACCAGCTGTCAAACACTCAACCAGATTTATTTAGTCCCAACTCAATGTGGTATACATGGCACCTCAGGCAGCTTAAAGATGTCCAGAGACTCTCCCCAGCCTTCCAAGCTGTACAAGGCTCCAGCTCAGCCCAGTCAGGTGACCCCAAATCCCAGATGAATGCTACTCATCTCCGAGTCCGGGCCTGAGCTGGCCTTGGCAGATTCTCAAAACCTTGGTGAGATTGAGGATTGATTACTCAGACAGGCATTTATATGGGCCACACACAGGCCCAGGAGGTGTGGCCAGAAGGCACACCTAGCCACCTCCTCCCACCCATCCTCACACATGCACACAAGGCCTTCCCTGAACCACAAGCACTCAGAGCCATGAGAGCCATTAAGACCTGCACATTTGGGGTCTCCCTGGTGGTGCAAGGAGTTAAAGCATAGCTTTATGAAGCTATCCATTGCCACTGCAGCACAAGTTCAATCCCCAGTCAGGGAGCTGACCCATATGGCACAGCAGATCTTTCCTGACCCGCCTGCTGCTCCCCTCTGCAGTGTACTTCAGTTCCCCACTCTGTCTCTGGTGAATCCTCTCACCTCCTCACCTGTGGTCTGTGAGGAGGTGAGGAGTTATTGTATGCATAAATAAATAAGTCTTTAAAAAAAATAAAAAGATCTGCACAGTCCTGGCAAGTGTCTGTGCAGCCCCTACTTACATGGGAAGCTCACTGGCCACCCACCACATGCAACTCCTTCCATCTGGGCACTTCCTAGTGCTGGGCATGCACCCTGTGGCTGAGCTGGAATCCTGTGTCTGGCAGCTTCCTACTCTCACCCGCCCTCACCCTGGGGTTTATCCTAACCAAGGAGCATGACTGGTGGCTGAGACCTGTGCAGAAGCCCAGCACAGGGATCTTCTACCCACTCTGTCTTACATGGGTTGGATGATGGCCCCTGGAGATGTCTACGTTCTCACTTCTGGAAACTGAATGCTAATTTATATGGTAAAGGACACTTTGTGGGTGTTATTAAATTAAGGATCTTGAGTTAGGGGGTTCTCCTCTATTACCCAGGTGGTGCTCAATACAATCACAAGTGTCCCTATAAAACTGGGCAGAGGTGGATTTGGGGCAGAAGAGGAGCAGGCAATGTCACCAAGAATGCAGAAACAGGAGTGGCCCCGCCAGCAGCCACCAGCAGCTGGAAGAGGCTGGAAAGATGCTTCTCTACAGCCTCCAGAGGAAGCATGGCCCAGCTGAACTTGACTTTGGCTCACTAAAACCATTTGGGACTTCTCCAGAACTATGAGAAAATACATGTCTGTTGTTTTAAGCTACCAAGATGATAATAATTTGTTACATCAGTCCTGGGACACTAATATAAGTTCTATGAAGAAGTTAAGTTAGAAGAGACAAGAGCTGAGAAAATCAGAAGCAACTTGCTCAGGAACACAGTGGGGGAAAGTTTCCCCGTTTTTTCAAGGACTCAGTCTTTGCCTCCTGGGAGACAAGAATCTATCAGTGCCAAGTCAAACCTCAATGTCTCATTCGATGCATTTATTCATTCACTCACTGGATGTTTCCCTCTGCACCCACTATGTGCCAGGAAGCTGATCCTACCTAGGTGGGAAGATGTACAAGTCAGCTTATAGTAACAAGCAGTCTCTAGAGGCAACAGAATGCAGGGCCCCAGCTTTGCAGTAGGATGGGTTTGAATCCTGACTCGGCTGCTTGTTAGCTGTGTGACCTTGGGCAAGTCACTTAACCTCTCTGATTTTCCACCTCCTCCATTGTAACACATGAATAATAGGATTTATTATTATAAAGCTTCAAAGGATTTTTTAGGTAAAGTATTTACTTAGCATAGGGAATAAACTAAAATTTAATAATTATAAGTTAAGAAAAGGGAGACACACGCAGAGGACACAGCTTGGGCAAAGGCACAGTAAGAGTGCATGGAATTTTCTGGAAATTACCTGACGCTCTCTCTGGGCATCAAGGAGTGATGTAGTGACAAGAAAGGAGACTTGGGAAGAGGAAGTAGTCAGGAGGGAACTAGTGTCACTGCAGCCTTTGGGGCCACAGGGCTCCAGGGAGAACATGGAGGCCTGAGGAGTTTAGGAGCCCACAGGAGGGAAGCAGAGAGGAGAGGACTGCACAGACCAGGACAAGCATCAACTGGAGGAGAAGAAAAATCTGGGACTGAGAGTTTCAAGGCAGGGAGAAAGCAAGTAAGAGAAGCTTGAGATGTCGTTGCGGCCTTGGAGAATGGGTCCCAGGTGGCGTGGACAGGACGGCAAATAACAGGGCGAGGAGGAAGGGCGTGGGGAGGACACTCCTGGCACACGGCGCCTGCCTCCTGGCTGGCTTTGGACTCTGCTCATCCTACCCCCCCACCCTCCCAGCAGCTTTTCCAGAAGCTTCCAATGAGGCTGAGAACAAATGAATGTGGGTATGATAAGTGCAGGCATTAAGTGTGATGAGCCAGGTAAGTAATGAGGCCTCCCTCAATTTGCCATCTGTAAAATGGGATGACTTCACTGAAGACACTACAGGGCCCTCTGAAGGAGGATTGCCTAAGACTCCCATCATCCCACAGGCTCCACAGAAGCTTCACCACACTCTCCACCAGTGCCTTGTGGATGCCCACAGCAGCCCCAGGGGTAGAAGATAGGGACTGGGGCCCAGAGGGACGAGGGAGTACTGGTACCACCCAGAGTGGCAAGGGCTCAGCCACGGTTATGACCAGGCCCCCTGCTTGTCAGCTAGGTCCCAGCTCTGGCATCTTCACGGAGTACCATGTGCCCAGAGAGATGAAATTTGGGGGCTCAGGACCTGCTAAAATCTTTCCCACCAGGAGCCCCCTGACCTGGGCCAAGTGCCCAGGGCTCCCAAAAGCTCCTCACCTGTCCTCACTGTTGCACGGCTCCTGGAGGCAGGGTAGCTGCAACCTGTGCACCACACGGACCTCAAGCAGAAATTTGGGGGTCCAGAAGCCCAGAGCGCCAGTCACAAAGGACATGCACGTCACTCCAAGAGTTGACCACACAAAACTCCAGCTGCAAGAGAAGGTGTCCAGGCCAAAGTGGAGGAGGGTCAGGGCTGCAGGGGCAGGTTCCTGTCCACGCCCCACACACACACCTCCTGCGTCCTCCGGTCACTCAGGAATTCAGGCAGCCTCCTGCCTCGGGTTCTCCCTGTCATTGCCTAGGAACCCTACACTGCGCTTTCTTCCCTTCTCTGCAGAGCCAAACCAGCACCTCCAGGAAGCTGTTCCTGCTGCCCCCCAGGTCTCAGGCCTGTAACATAGAGTTGGGGCCTGTCCACACCCGATGTGATTTACTGAAATTCTGAGGCCTGGGAGTGCAAGTGACTCCTATCCGCCCCCCTGATCGTGCCTAGCACAGAGGAAGGCTGAACTCCCATGAGGCTTAGAGAGATGAGTGATTAACTCGGGCACCCTCCCCATAGCCCTGAGAGGCAGGAAAGGCTGGAGAAGTATATCCATTGGATAACTGAAGGAAGCCAGGCTCTTCGTCTCAGGTCACACAGGGATAAGGCCGTGGCAGGGCCAGGCTGGAGTCCATGCCGCCTCCCTCCCAGCCCGCCTCTGTCCCAGGGGAGCCCCAAGTGATGGAGGGACAGTTTAGTTGTCCAGTAGAGACTCAGAAGAAGGAAAGAAGAGGGCTGCGCACATTAGGGCAGTCAGGGAAGTCTCCCTTGAGGTAGAGAGAAGGAGGTCAGCAACCTGAGGTGGCCAGAAGGGGGTTGGGTTTGAAGGCACATGGGGGAGCAGGGACACTCACTTTCTCCACAGGTCTCTGACATCCCGACACCAGCTGCTGTGTGGGGCCCTCGTGGCCACCTCCTCCTGCTTCTCAGCAGCTCCCCGGGGTGGGTCTGGCACCAGCATGATAAGCAGGATCACGGCCACAGCCCCCAGGCAGGGCATGACCTGGACACAGGAGGGCCTGGGAAGCTCAGGGCCACGCATGCCTTTGGCTCAGGAGCCGGTGGGGTGGCTGGACTCTGTGGCACTCTCTGTGCCCTGGCAGGGCAGGGGTGTACTGGTTCTAGCCACGTACTGGCACTAGCCAGAGCCGGACACACCATGTGCCTCAGCCGTCATCCCTAAGAGCACAGCCTCTCCGGGGGGCTGACCCCCCCGACATGTGTACGGACACTTCCCCATGGACTTCACTGAGCCGGGACCATAGAGGACTGGAGCCCTGACTACGCCGGCCCTGACTCCTGAGCATATGCTGCCCCTGCGGATGGCCAGGCTGCCACCTGCCTGCCGATCCCACCCTAGTCTCTTTCCACCCCTGGTCTCATGAATACCGCAGATTCCAGAAGTGGCCTGGACAGCCCCACTCTTTACACATTGGCAGAGAGGCGCCAAAGCAGGGGCGGCTTGCTTGAGTAACCGGGCCAGCAAACTGAGCAGCTGGGATTTGAACCCAGGGCCACGACTTCCACAGTCCATGCGCCACAGGAGGTTCCAAATGTTTGAAGCTGCCGACATGCAACCACCCCCCAGGGCGCCCGGGACGGTGCCAATTGGCAAAGGCCACTCGGGCTGGAAAGTCCCTGCCGGCCCAGGAGGAAAACAGAAGGAAGAAAAGGAAGCTGGACTCACTCGCAGGGCCCAGCGCCAGTCCCCGGTCTGCTCCGTCAGACCCGACCCCAGTATGTAGCCCAGACCACTGTGACAGAGGGAAAGGGAGGTATGCATGAGGAAGGGTGGGGGACAGGGTGGCCCAAGCCCCAAAGCCAGCGCGATGGGTTGGCCCCACCCCAGGGAGATGGGTCACCAAAGCTCAGAGCCCTTTCACTGCACAAAGTGAGCCACGTCAGGCCCAGATGTCCACTGCCCTTGGTCAAGTCACCAGTGACCACTGGCTCCTAGCCCATTCCCAGTGTCACTGTCCTCTGCCTCCTATATGGACACCCCTCTCCCATCACCCAAGACTCAGTCATGCCTGAGTCTGGTGACTTCAGCAAAACTGAGTCAGAACTCAGGAACCAGACTGCAAATCCCCAGCGGATCCCCAGTAGATCCGGGATGACACTAACCTTCCAACAGGGATAAATATGTAGAAGATGCCCAGCACCCGGGTCCGCTGTTCCTGCACGAAGAGGTCGCTCAGGAGGGTGGGTGCGATTGTGGAGTAGCTGGCAGTGCCAATGCCCATGACTCCCCGGGACAGGAAGAAGAGCCAGGAATACTGGGCAGGTAGGCACAAGACCACGGAGAGGTTACCCCTGGACACCCAGCCCAGTCGTGGGGAAGAAAGCCAGGATAGCGCAGAAGGTACAGGAGAAAAACATCCACCCAGCTACTCTCTCAGCGCTGGAGGCTAGCCCCTCGCCAGCCGCCAGCCAAGCCTGACATGGAGCAGGCAGGGAGGAAGCAGGCAGGGACAGGTCTGCGGGGCCAGGGCAGGAGAGAGGGCACCTACCTGGTGGATGATGAAGGAGCTGGAGATGCCTGTGACTGACCAGAGCAGGATCCCAAAGCTCAAGACGGCCTTGCGACTGTGCCGGTCGCCCAGGTAGCCAAACACGGGTGCAGACAGCAGCAAGAAGACAATGAAGACTACAGGAGACATGCAGGGGCATCATGCATCCTCCATGGTGGGTGGGCAGACATCGACAACAAAGTAGGGGCCTGGCTCAGATGCTACAAGCTGGCACCTCGGCAGTGGGGCCAGGTGAGCTCCCCAATTCCTGCCTAATCTATAAGCTATTGCCCAGAATCAGGGGGACTGAGAAGTGGGGATAGAGGGGGCTATGATCAGTTCAAATCCCTGTTCTGCTGCTTGCTCGCTGTGTGATCTTAGGTTGCTAACGCCACCTCTCTGGGCATCACTCCAGCGCCTCCAAGGCTGGGCAAGGGTGAGATAAAAATGCCCATGAAGCACATGCCCGTTCCCTAGCTTCAGGACAGCCTTATGTCGTGGCCTATCTGATTTTGTTCTCACACCCTTGTGGACATGGGGGGTGAGAAGGAAAGGCGGTCAGCAGGGGTGCTGCTTTGAGCTCGTGTGGTCCCTGACACAGGAAGGGCTGTTTTTCTTAAGTAGGTAAAACATTCCCTTGACCCTAGCATCAGCCGCATATATAGCAACTCAGAGGAGGGTGTGACCACGGCCCCCAAAGGCCTGTAGGTGGCAGGGAAAGCCTGAACCCTCCCCCATAGATTGCCACCGGCCAAGGGCCTTACATTTTGGAGGCCCCACCCGCCCAGCACTGGGTCCCCCTTCACTGAGCACAGATGATTAACATTTCCTGAGCCCAATGAACATCCAGTTTCGGCCCAGCTCAGGTTCCAGCCCCTCCTGCTCCCCCATGGCCCGCTCCAGTGTGGGTTGAACCATATGCATTCGCAGAAATTAGGTCAGTTTTGACCTATAAAAACAGCAATTTAATATTGTTAAACTTAATACTCCACAGAGTATTTGGTGTCAACGGCATTTAAAATCTTAATAGCTACTGCCAAAATAGGCTTCCAGCAAGGCTGTATCAACTTACACTTGCATGGAAGTACATGCCAAAGCCCTTGCTGCCCCTTGATATAAGCAATCACTTTATTTTTATTCATCTAATGGTTGAAAACACAAGTGGCATCTCGCTGATGCTTTCATCTGCTTTGTCATTATTCCCAAGGAGACTGAGCAGTTCCTGTGTCCCCATCTTCTACCCTCTTTTTATTGGACTGTCTGTTTGTTGTTTGAATTTCTCCCAGTCCTTCATAAGAAGATTCTGGGACTAACCTATCTGAACCACACCACTCCCTAGCTGTGTGACCTTGGGCTTCAGTTTAACTCTCCTGTTCCCCTTTCATCAACTAAACGTACAGTAAGATAGTAGTGACTTCCCTCGAAAGATTTTGGAGAGGATTAAATAAAATGAAGCATGTAAGAGGCAATGACTCGCTTTATGCACATGCCTAACAGATGCTATCTATTATCAATAATTGTATTACAGTTTCCATTGTCATTTTACAGATGAGTTTAGCTTTTATATGTCAAATTTATCCATTTTTCTCATGTCTTATTACTGCATATCTTTTTTATTTAAAGATTATAAAAATATTTCCCAAATCTTCTTTATGGGGTTGGAGAAAGGATCTTTTAAACTCCCTAAACCTGGGCCCTCCCTGGGGGCGCAGCGGGTTAAAGCACAGCACAAAGAAGCTTAAGCCACTTTCGCATGAGTTCGATCCCCGCCTGCCCCAGAGGTGACCACATGGTGTGGCAGACCTCTCCTGACCCACCCGCTGCTCCCCTCAGCAGTGTACTTTGTTGATCTGCCTGTTCTACTCCCTGCTCTGTCTCTGGTGAATCCTCTCACCCTCTGCATCTCTGGCCTGTACCCCAGTTCTGTGTGAATAAATAAAATAAATCTTTTAAAAATATATATTAAAAAAAATAAATAAACTCCCTAAACCTGGGCCCTTCCTGGTGGTACAAGGGGTTAAAGCATAGCACTAGAAAGCTGTCCACAGCCACTGCAGCATGAGTTCGATCCCCAGCCAGGAAGCTGACCCACATGGCACAGCAGACCTGCCCACTGCTCCCCTCAGCAGTGTATTTCATTGGATCCACCTATTCTGCTTCCCAATGAATCCTCTCAAGCCCCCACACCTCTGCCCTGTGCCCCAGTTCTTGTATGCATAAATAAATAAATCTTTGAAAAGAAAAAATTTTATGCCCGCTTCTCACATTTCCATCTGATATTTAAAACATTTTATAGCCGAAGGTTAAATATTTGAAAAAGATACAATTTCTAACATTGGCTGTACTTTTTTTTTAACTGTATTTGTATTTAAATCCTTGGCGTTGCAAAGTGAATTCATTCCTTTTATGGGAAATGTCCACAGAGAATCTAATGAGTGAAGCCAGTTCTCATTTGCCAAATCAATGAGACAAATCAGACTGATTGTCTCTGAGAAAGATGTTAAGATGTCATATTTCTTAAATTGAAAATGTGTTGACACCCATGCCTGAGACAGCTATCTCACTTCTGAATTCTAAATTGTAGATAAATAGCAAACTGTCACACAGTCATGGCAGATAAGGCTTGGCGCCTTGCCACAGGTTTGTGGCCTGGAGCAAACAGCCCCTGTGGGTTCTGCTCTCCCTGCTCTGTTCCCAGAGGTCCGCCAGCAGAAATCAAGCATCCATGAGAGATCCCTCTTCTCTGTCTGACACCCTGGAGATTTATATATTCCAAAACAGTGCAGCCTAGCAAAATCCAGACTGAGGAAGAGACCTATGTTCTCACTTAAAATGGTAGACAGGTGATTACTAAAGGGGAAGGTGGGAAAGAGAGGTAGAGGCCAACCGCCGGCTTGCTCTCAGACAGATCCCTTTCAGGAAGGAATTGGATGGGCTTGAGTGTCTCTAAGTGGATTCCCTTAAAACTCCGCTCAGGCAGCTACTGGAAAGTTTTGCTTGTCTTTTTCTTTGTTTGTTTTTAAGATTTATTTATTTGTGCATACAGAGCTGGGGTACAGGCCAAAGGTGCAGGGGTGGTGAGAGGATTCACCAGGGACAGATCGGGGAGCAGAACAGGCAGACAGACGAAGTACACTGCAGAGGGGAGCAGCGGGCGAGACAGGAGAGATCTGCTGCACCCTGTGGATCACCTTCGGGACTGGGGATGGAACTCTCATTGAGCAGCTGTGGCCAGCTTACAGTGCTGCGCTTTAACCCCCTATGCTAACAGGGAGGGTCCTGCAAAGTTTTTCTATAACCTCAGGGCTCCCTGCACCCCAGTGGAGAGGCTTTTCTGAAGCTTTCAGATAGCCCTTTCAAGATGAGGGAGAGGCCCCTCCTGCAGAGAGGAAGCCAGCATGTGCTGGTTACAGGTTGGGAGTGTGCAATCACGTCAAGCTGGTGTTGTGGCATGTGTACCTATGTGGGTGTGGGGATATGTGTCACCAAAAAGGCACCCAGGGGCAAGGTTAGTGCCTGGTCACCCCAGTGCCCCTACTTGGATTAGGGCGTATGACTGCTCCCCACTACTAGACTGGAGCATCAGTGGGCCCAGGTGCCATCTGTGTGTCTGGAGGTCAGACTTTTCAGGGCCATGACAGGAAATGCATGTCAGGATTCCTCCACCCCAAGGACCCAGCTGAGCTGAGCAAACATGAAGAGACAGATGACCAGCTCCACAAACACAGCCAGAAGCAAGGGAGCCTTCCAGCACTATCTCCCTGTGCGGCACCCCACACTCCACCCCGAAGGAGCTGTTCGAACACAAGAGCTTAGCCCGCGCTGTCCTTTACCTGCACAGATCAGTCCTCATGCTCCAAGACCCCCTCCCTTCTCAGTGCCCCTTTTCTGCGCCTGAGACCGAGTGGAGCTCAGGCTGGCTTCTCATTGCCCAGTAGCTGGAACTGGGCCTGGAACCCACAAAGAGAAGCCATCCTTGCATGAAGCCAGCACCCAGCTCGAGGGCCAAGGACTCCCTCCTTACCTGTATGAAGCAAACCAGCCTGGCTGTCACTGATGTGAAAAAACCTCTGTATGTCCAGCAGCACTCCTGTGGAGAGGCAGATTGTGCTCAAGAACTGGGAAGTAGCCCACTGGGCCTCTAGCATGAGCTGCCCAAGTCTGGGACAGGAGTGCAGCTGAGGGGTCCACGCTCTCTCTCTCTCCCTCACACACACACATACAGGCGCACCGAGATGTGCATGCATCAATCTCATGCAGCAACATATACCAGTGGCACACATTCATACAAGCATGCACCCCAGGCACAGACACACACGTCATCCTGCGGGCACAGACACGTCATCCTGCGGGCACAGACATGTAGTCATGTAAGAACACACAGGCCCAGAGGCACACACTCTCAGAGGCACATGGATGTGACCACACCCGGGAGCCTACACTCACTAGTTCACACACCCCAGTCTCACACACCCAGACCCCCACAGACATATGCATGAGATGCAGACATAAGACATGCATGCACTGTACATGTGCAGGGCTGCCATTCTCCTCACAGAGGGGCCCCATGCCTGCACAGAGCACAGCCATCCCTGTAGACTACATACAGAGCAAGTGGAAGTCCCTGGCAGTGAGCAGCTCTCCTTGTGCATAAACACCAGACACTTATGATACTCCCACAAACATGTCTGTGCAGAGACTTGCGCCCTGACCTGCATCCATGCACACACAAGCATGCTCTGTTTAGAGCCCACAGAGCAGAGGGTGGACACACAGCTGCAGAGACAAGCCCACATAGGTCTAACCTGGCCCTTTCCCAAAGGTGGCCAGCTCCTGCTCTGCACCAGGTGGGTCACCAGATCCTGCCAGGCCCCCGGCAGGTGCAACAGGACCTCAGCTTAATGCAGAAAGAGGAAGTGGGCCCCAGACACGAGGCTCTGTTCCCTAAACTCCCCGCCAGCCTCTTGGTGGCACTTCTGAGTCAGGCAGGGCCCAAGGCACCTGCTCCTCTGAGCTGTGAGGCTCTGGCCCTGGCGTTATAGAGAACAATCATCGTTTTCATTAAGGAGGCCCAGATCCTGGCCTGGTCACTTGCAGCTATTGTCCCTAACAGGTAGGGAATGCCCCCACTATACAGATGAGGAAACGGGCTCCAGCTGCCCATGGTTGTGCAGCTGGGGTTGACCACGCTATCACCCTATGTAACAGAACTCCCCAAATGGGGTCCTGAAGAAAGCCCCACACCCACACCTCCAAGGCTTGCCAGGAGGCAAAGGAAGACCAATGAATAGGAGAAGCCCAGCAAGAGATTTTTTTTCAGACATTTACTTGGGGCACAATGTCCACAAGTCCCGCATACCAGTCTGTCTGTCTTATGTCCGCTTTGAATATTTTTTAATTACATGAACAAGACATTCATTGGAGAAAAAAAAAAAAAGCAGACAACAAGAATAAACAAAGGAAAACACTACATAAAAATTCCTGGTCATGGCACTCATTGTCTTTCAGGAATGGGGATGGGGATGCACCCCCTTTGCCTGCCCCTCACTGGGTGCTCTTCTCAGGCAACCCAGGGCCAAGAGTGGATCCAGCCTCAATTTTACTTTTAAGCCATGGCTCTGGTCCCCAGCAGCGTTGTCTCCTACAAGAGCAGTCTAGTTGCTGTGCAAATGGCCTCCCTCCAGCAGGCCCAAGGCACCAGCGTGGTTTCACTTCTTTAGGCCCTTTCAGCCCAACAAGGGTGCCCTTGATCTTGCACAACCAGAGGAAGTACCAATGGGGAAGGGGCCAGCCAGGGGCCTCCCAGGATGAGTGCGGGAAGGAAAGGGGCCTCAGCCTGCTTGGCTCACAGGCTGCCCTGGTTCCCCTGGTTCCCCTTCCCTCCCCTCCATGCCCTTGACCCACCCAGGTCTAACCCACTGCAGCAGCCCCTGAACAGGCTGCGCTGGACGACAGTCATCCCTTCCCAGATTTCTGCTGTTGTCTCCCGGCCAGCCCTCCATTCTCTCTTGCTCTCCAAGAGGCCTCCGCAGCCCCCATCAGATTCTGACTGTAGACTGGGGCTACAGTCTCCCACCCAAAGTTTATTTAGTTTTCCCCCCAGAGCTCCCCATTGCCTCAGCAGAAAGTCCAAACTACATCAACATGGCATTCAAGGATCCTCTGGGCCAAACACCCTTTTTGTTTATGAATAATGACCTGGGCCCTCCCTGTTGGCACAACGGGTTGAAGCACAGCACTGTGAAGCTGTCTGCAGCCACTGCAGGGTGAGTTTGATCCCCAGGCAGGGAGATAACCCACATGGCATGGCAGAACTCACCTGTCTCACCTGCTGCTCTCCTCAGCAGTGTATTTCACTCGAGCTACCTGTTCTGTTCCCCACTCAGTCTCTGGTGAATCCTCTCACCCCCTCAATTCTGGCCTGTACCCCAGTTCTTGTATGCATAGATAAAAAATAAATCTTTTTTAAAAAAGAATAATGACCTGCTTTCTCCCCCTCTCCCCACCCCTGATCAGAGCACGTGTCTCGACTTATGCTGATGCCACTCTCTGAATAACCCCTTCACTCCATTCTTGTCTTGCCAGCTTTCAAGACCCAAACCAAATGCCCACCCCTCACCACCACACCATAAATTCTGCTTCAACCCTCTGCCATTCTACCTTGGACTGCCCAGCTGATACCTGCCCCATTCTATCCTGTACTAGAGCGGCTTATACATGTGTTCCATGTCCCTCTGATGGGTACCAGATCTGTGCTGTCTGCAACCCCCAAGTCCTCTCATCCCTTAGCTGCTCTTTGTGGTGCCAAGTCAGCAGCTGATGAATCATATCCCTGCCCCCAGGATGTCCACTGGTTACAGGAGCCCCCTCTGGGCCTCCTTCTCTAACAGGAGACCTGTTAATGAGCTTCTCCCTCTACCCTAGAGATCCCATCCCTGAGCTCAGGAACTGTAAAGCCAATGCCCACTCCCTTGGGTCTCCAAAGCCCATAGTTAGTGCTCAGTTGGTCTGGAATAAATCAGAGACAAAAAAAGAAAAGACGTTTGATCTTCAATGAGTGAGTGAGTGAGTAGAAAACAAGCGGGCTGATCTCTAACGTCTACAGCCAGGAAATCAGAATGTGCCAGGTCTGGCGCGGTCTGCAGTCCCAGGAACACCCAACAAGCTATTTCTGGCTTGGGAGCAGGACCAGCCTGCCCAGTCCTCCACAGCCTAACTGCAGTGTTCCAGAACTTTGCCTGGAAGGCCCAGTCCTCCCTGCTGTCCTCACCCTGTACCGCCACCCCCATGTTCGGGTGTTTGGGACCAGAGTGAAACTTCAGTTGCCTTGCTCCATTCAAGCATGGTGAAAATAACAAGGTTGTGCTCCAGAACAGGCTGCTGGACAGCTGGCCACTGTGGACGCACAGCCCTGACTGATGGCTAGTAGATATCTGGTCAAGCAGGTGCTGCCCCGGATGCCTGTCCCTTCCTCACCTGAGATGATGAACCAGTTCATGTAGTTCAGGAGGTTGATGTAGCAGAGCACCGAGAGAGCAACATACGCCTTCCAGAGAGGCAGGCTCCAGGGGCGGGGCATGGTCAGAGGGGTGCACTGACCTGAGTCTGAGGCCCCAGAGTGCCTGCCTGTCCCCAGGGACTCGCCCTGTGTCCTGTTTCTCTCCAGCTGCACGCACTCAGCAGACATGTCCTCAGCCTGGTCAACCTGCAACTCCCACCCAGGAACTGGCGCTGAAGTGAAGAAGTCTCTGCTCCACTCAGAGTCACTTCCTGTGGGCTCCCAGACGCTAACCTCAAAGCAGCTGCCCTAACTGCTGAGTACCTTATCACAAGTTCTTGCTGAGCCCACCATAGCCTCACCAGTGAGCTTTCACCATCTGCAGCCTCTGAGACCTGCCAGGGGAAAGAAAACTCCTGGTGCCTCCACCCTGGTGACTCGCCACTACGGTCCCTCAATCTAGACTGTGGCTGTGGTGGCTGCAGTGAAGACAAGAAGCTTTCAGGACGAGAAATGAGATGAGGCTCCCAGACTCCTGCCCACTGGTAAGATTCAGGGACATGAACCAGGTCATACCAGGGAGGTCTGGTGTTGACCAGGAGGGCGGCCCAGGTCCAGACTGGATGTGAAGGTTCCTGTCTAACGGCCTACCTGGATGGCAGAAGACAGCCAGTGGACAAAGCTCAGCCATAGACACTAAATCTCAGGGGAAATTTTTGATAAATGACAAGACAGTAGCGTGGTCTTCCCACAACACAGAGTTAACTTTTGACAAAGGAGCCACAGTCATGCAATAGAGAAAAGAAAGTCTCTTTAACAAAAGATGTTGGGAAACTTGGTCAACCATTTGTAAAGAAATTAGATCATTATTGGACTCCAAATCCAAAATTTCATTCAAAATGAATGAAAAACTTAGATAGAAGATCTGAAACCATGAATACAGAAAAGAAAGTGTTGGTGATATACCCTTGGACATGCATTTGAAAGGCAACCCCAGCTTCAGGGAAAACAGAAGCACAAGTAAACAAGTGGGACCACATCAAACTAAAATGCTTCTGTATATTGGAAAGAAATCACCACAGCAACAAAAAGGGAGGGCCTCTCTGGTGGCCCAAAGGGATAAAGTAGTTCCAACCTGGCGCTGGAGGTGACTTACATGGCGCGGCAGACCTCTCCTGCTGCTCCCCTCAGCAGTGTACTTCGTCAATCTGCCTGTTCTGTTCCCTGCTCTGTCTCTGGTGAAGCCTCTCACCGCCCCTGCAACTCTGGCCTGTACCCCAGTTCTGTATGCATAAATACATAAAGCTTTTTTTAATGTTTTTAAAGAAATTGTGGAATATATACTCAATGGAATACTACTCAACTATTTAAAAATATAAAGTAGTGACTTTTAGGACAACATGAATGGATCGAGATGCCAAGTGAAAAAAATCAGAAAGTGAAAGACAGATACCAGATGGTTTCACTCATCTGAGGACTATAAATAACCAGGGAAAACAAACTGGCACAACACAACAAAAATAATTCTTAGACTCTGTGAAAAATATACTGGATACCTGAGAGGATGGGGGGAGAGAAGGGTGGCGGGAGGATGACAGGGTACCTGTACAGGAGCTGTGGTGGAGGGTGAATGAGCATGCACACATTTAAAGGTGTGAAGTTGTGACCCCAAATTATACAGTTATGTAAACAACAGGCAAATCAAAAAATTTGGGGGGAAATGAAAGGAAATAAATTTTTCATAAATAAATATATATAAGCACATTTAAATCATTAAAACACAAAAAGATACCAACACACGCATCAAGTGTCTCTTACCATTTAAGTATCAGGCAAGACAGAGTCAGGAGAGGGGTGCCCATTCTCAGGGTCCAGCAACACCACCAGCAAGGGGCCAGGGGCATCATGTGCTTCACCGGAGGCCACACTATCATCTCAGCAAGATTCTGGCCAGAAATCAGGACCTGGAACTAATCAGAAGGAAATATCAGATAAAGCCAGATTGAGGAACACTAGTTTTTGGAGCAGTTTTTAAGTATCAGCAAAATTGGGCAGAAGGAACAGAGACTTCCCATCTACTCCCTGTCTTGAACATGCACAACCTCATTAGCCCCCATTATCAAAAGACCCCACCAGAGTGGGGCACCTACTACAGCTGGTGAACGAACATTCACTGACTCATCATTACTGCAGAGTTCATTGTTCACATTAGGGTTCCTGTGTTGTACGTTCTATGGGTTTGGGAAGTGAGCCCTATTTATCATTATGGTAATATAATTCTAAATATCCTCTGTGTTCTTCTTATTTCATCCCTGCCCCCCTCCCTCCAGTCTCTGGCAACCCCTGATCTTTGTACTTTCCCCATAGTTTTGTCCTTTCCAGAATGCCATATGGTAGAACTCAAAAAGTATGCATTCTTTTCAAATTTCCTTTTTTTACTTAATAATATGCATTGAGGGCCCTCCCTGGTGGGTCGATGGGTTAAAGCACAGCACTACGAAGCCATCCATAGCCACTGCAGCACAAGTTGGATCCCCAGCCAGGGAGGTGACCCACATGGTGCTAAGGAGGTCTGCCAGACCATGTGGGTGTCAGCTGCCTGGCTGGGAATCCAACTACTGCTGCAGTGGCTGCTGATAGCTTCATAGTGTGCGCTTTAACCCCTTGTGCCACCAGGGAGGCCCCAGAAATTATTTCTAAATAAAGAATTAAAGTCCAAAGTGCCAAACAATCTAAGTAAAAATGTGGTAATGAGGGCCTCCCTGGTGGCTCAAGGAGTTAAGTCTCAGCATTATGAAGCTATCAGCAGTCACTGCAACTTAAGTTCAACCCCTGATGAGAAAGGTGACCCACATGCCAGAGGTAGACCTCTCTTGTCTCACCTACTGCTCCCCTCAGCAGGGTATTTTGGTCGATCTGCCTGTTCCACTCTCCACTCTGTCTCTGGTGAATCCTCTCACACCCCTCACTTCTGGCCTATACCCCAGTTCTTGTATGCAAAAATAAATAAATCTTAAAAAAAAAAAAAAAGAAATATATGAAGAGAAGTTTAATATCATGAGGCCAGGGAAGGGGCCTCTTTGGTGGCACAAGGGGTTAAGTCTCAGCACTAGGAAGCTATCAGCAGCCACTGCCACATGAGTTTGATCCCAGCCAGGGAACTAACCCACATGGTGCAGCAGACCTCTCCTGCTTCATTTACTGCTTCCCTCAGCAGTGTATTTCAGTCAATCTGCCTGTTCTGCTCCCCACTTTTTTCTGATGATTCCTCTCAACTCCTACCCCCACACCTCTGGCCTACACCCCAGCTCTTTTATGCATAAATAAATAAATCTTCTAAAACATCATGAGTCATTAAGGAAGCACAAATCAAAACCACTATGAGATACCATTTCAGACATAGTCTGATAGTCAGGATGTAAAGTTGTTGGAGTTTTTTTTAAGATTTATTTATTTATACATACAAGAACTGGGCTACAGGTCAGAGGTGAGGGGGTGAGAGATTTCACCAGAGACACAGTGGGGAGCAGAACAGGCAAATGTACTGAAATACACTGCTGAGGGGAGTAGCTGGCAGGTCAGGAGAGGTCTGCCACGCTATGTGTATCACCCCCCTTTGCCGGGGGTCAAACTCATGTGGCAGTGGCTGCAGCCAGCTTCACAGGGCTGCACTTTAACCCGCTGAGCCACCAGGGAGGCCCAGGATGTAAGGTTTTAAAAATAAAACAGAAAATAACAAGTATTGGTGAGGATACAGTAAAAGTGGCCCCCTAAGATATAGTTAAAGGGAATGTAAAATGGATCAGCCACTGTGGATCAGCAGTTCCTCAAAAGCCTAGCTATATATAGATTTACCATATAACAATTCACTCCTGTGTCTAGACCCCAAAGAACTAAAAGCAGGAATTCAAATACTTGTGCACAAATATTCATAGCAGCACTAATCACAATAGCCAAAAGATGGAAACAATTTGAATGCCTACCAATTGATAACTGGGCAAACAAAAAGTGGACTATGCATGCCATGGAATAGTATCTAACCAGAAAAAGGAATAAAGAACTAATCCTTGGCCAAACCTCAAAAACATTATGCTAAGTGATAGGAGCCAGACACAAAAAGGCAAATATTGTACAATTCCATTTCCGTGAAATATCCCAACTAGTGAAATCCATAGAAACAGAGCAGATTAATGGATTCCAGGGACTACAATGAGGGAAGGCTTAATGGATACAGTCCCCTTTGGGAGCAATGAAAATGTCTTGGAACTAGATGGAGGTAATAGTTGCACAACATTGTGAAAGTACCAAATTCCACTGAATTTTAAGTTCTAATTTTTTTTTTAAGATTTTATTTATTTACTTTTGCATAGAAGAACTAGGGTATAGGCCAGAGGTGGGGGTGGTGGTGAGAGGATTCACCAGAGACAGATTGGGGAGCAGAACAAGCAGACTGATAGAAATACACTGCTGACACGAGCAGCAGGCAGGTCAGGAGAGGTCTGCCGCACCATGTGGGTCAGCTCCCTGGCGCGGGAATGAACTCAGGCCACAGTGGTGATTACCCTGCCCTCAGGATGCAGAAGTGACAGGTAGAGTCCTATTTTCAAGTATAAAATATGAGTCCAAACCCAGGCACATTCACACACACTCACACTGGGGCAAACCCCACGAGGGCACTGCAGACAGCAAGCACCAGGACAGAGGTGCCCCCTCAACTGGAGGTCACTGCCCCAGCAAGTCTGGTTTCCGAACCCGGGCTACTTTGCGGGGTCCACTCCTCATCTTTGCCAAGCCGGAATACCACTCTGAGAAATACCTCCTCAGAGCCAACGAGGACAAAGGAGCCACTCTCGGGCCCAGAACTCCAAGAACCGGTCAAACTAGGGAGGTTGGAGGACATTATCTGAATATGGCCAGCTGCCCTAGCTTCCAAGCGTGGACTCCCACCAGGACTTGACCCCCAGGAGTGTTCTGGATGAAGTGACTTTGACCCAGAGGCACCTTGGAATTAAAGCTAAGCCTCCTGGGAGGCCAGCAGAGGGCGGCATGGAGTCAG